GGATATAAATTATTATCTTATCAGTATTCTAATTTTAGTTTTTATCATTATTTTTAAGTTTTAATAATGTTAATTTTATCTAATTTTTTATTCATATTTCATTTTTTGTTTTTTACTTGAGCTTCCTAGGCTTTGTTTGTTAATGTTTCATACAAACCTTTTTCTCATTACACTTTATCTAAAAAAAGTAAGTTTTAAATTTTAACTAATTTTTTTATACAATTTTATTAAATTACTAGTCAATAATTATTTTATTATTATTATTGTAGTTACCTATAATGTATTAAATTAAAGGAAAAGAAATAGAAATCAGTTTTTAAATTATAAGATTATAATGTATAGTAATTATTTTTCTAATACTAAAATCTTTAAATAATCCAAATTTACTTTTACCGTTTTAAAATTATATGACTTTTCTTCTCATCTTTCTTTCACACCAAAAATTTTAGATTGATAAATTAAAAGAAAATAGATATACGAGAGCATGACAAGTAAAGGATCGTGAATATATAAAAATTCAATTTGATCCATTTGAGTAATAAAAAAAATATAACCTCAATTAAAATTATATATAATAGTTGATAATGGAAGATCAAAAAATACATAATTAATAATGTAACATATAAATGATAATTATTGTATTATTTCAATATTAATTTCAAAAATAATGATAAACAAAAGAAACCAAAACAATTTATTAATCAATTGAATATGATTTATCTTTATATTAATGCATAAGGTACTATTTCAAATGAATTGAAAATTAAAAATTAACAATAAATGTGCTATACTTATCATAATTATTTAATGTTACTATTTTTGTCCAATTTAAAGATAAAAGCATAAGCGATTTTAATGTTAGTATGTTCTAATTTTTCATTTTCTTTAAAATTTAAGAATTGATAAAACATAATATAAAATTTAAACTCTAATATAAAAAATTAAAAAATAACCCATGCGACACACAAGCGAAAACAAAATTAGTTGATATATAAAGCGTAAACTAATATTTTTAAATAATATAATTAAAGTTGAAATTATAAACTAGTAAAATTGATCAAAATAAACACAATTATCATATTATTTATGTGACC